ATTCGAGTTAGCGTGATTCATGGCGTGATTGTCATAATTATAACATCGTATTAAAACTTTATTTGGTGGAAACACATTGACGAAGCCCGGATTCTTATTTCATAAATTATTACGCAGATCAAGCTGCAAGCATGGAGGTAAAAAAGAACAGAGGTGTGAATTCGACATTCAACACCAATCACCAACCAATTCAGAAACTTTTAGCCTTCGAAAAACAGTTAGCAGTGTCACAGAGGGATAGAGGGACTGTGGCAGTGTGTAAGGGCTGTGTAATTTCCTGTTTGTCCGACGCTTCGTTTTCGCGTCACTGTCAAAATTATTGCTACCTTTTACTTAACAGGGACTAAATGGTCTCTATAAAACGATAATCAGGATCGCAAAAAAAGTCAACTGATTTGAAACACTTGCCGGACGTCTCTCTCTCTTCTGAAATCCGTCTCGGTGATCATGGGCTGGTCCGGAATCTATTTCTTTCAAAAGTGTTGCGCCAGTTTACGTGTTGCGTTCTCTTTAAACTAGTCGTTTTTATGACGAGACAGTGAATGAATCTAAGGTTAAGTGATGTCGCACTTGGATCGATTAGAAAACGTGTGAATACATACACTATGGCTATACGTTTCACTGCAACTGCCCACAACACAACATCTAAAAACTCTCTCTCTCAAAAAAAAAGAAAATAGACAAAAAAAAAAAAAAAAAAAAATCGCCGACCGAAAAATGTATATCGTTTAAAAGTATACTGAACGACCAGTGTTATTACGGCTCGGGCGTATGACTTCCTCTCACATTTTGTCATTTGGTGGCGCACTTTCGGCGAGAGTCGGAAATCCGGAAACAGTCGACCGTTTCACGATAGGTGGGCGTGGCTACAACACGAGAAATACCCCAAATTTACTTGGATACGAGTAATCATTTTCAGCAAAAAAATCAATAACTACCCTTTTCAGTGGGACACAGATCTAAAATGGGAAACGTGAGAGTGGGCATTGCACAGGCACTTTAAACATAAGCCCGCTGGCACATTTTTGCTTCCTTGGGGCAGCCATCAAAAATCTGTCAATGGGCTGTTAGATTTCATTCATCTTATACACCCGGCCTCTGAGCGATGTTATTAATGCTTATTCTGATACACATCAAATGATTTAAGCAGATGGCACTTAACTTTATTAACACACTGAAACCACCCGAGCATAAAGTTACTCTTACATGACTGGAGGGATGGATCACTGTTATCCATAGATGGGCTTTAACTCATGCTTAACGATGCCAGAACAGAAGTAATTCACGTGTGGTTATTTCTTCCTATCAACAATATTGGGGGCACTGATATCCGTTATCTTCAGATGCCAAAATCATTATTGATAGGAGTATGCAATTAAAACATCACGTCAATAACATTTGCAAGTCAGCTAACTTTATTTAGCATTAACAAAAATGAGGAAAATTCGCAAAAAATCAACTGCACGCCTAATCCACTCAATACATTTATTTAGACTTCGTGTTTAAACTGTAGCAACTTAACATGTACCATAACCTCAGATTGAACCACTGTAATATATCTAGTTCTGCCACCAAACTCGTTACATGTAATAAGCGTAATCAACATGTTATCCCACTCCTGCATCAACTTTACGGGACGAAAACAAGTCCTAGTGGAAAGTTGCCATTTTAACACTATTACCACAGGTTTTTATGGCAGAGATATTATGCAATATCACATAATCTAGTCTGTTGACATAGGCTGAAAAAATCATATATTGTTAATGATGGAGTACTTATTGTTATTTAAAAAATCTGGGTTTTAAAAAGTATCAAAAAATGCCATTTTTCTTTAACATTGTGTTCCATGGAATTGTTCTAAAAATAGCGATTTTCAAGAAATATTGGGACACGTTTCTCAAAAAGCATAACTATAACATACACAATAATGTTATTTCATTGTACCATGAGACATTAGCGATTTATGACCAATTTTGTCAAAAAATACTGACTAGGCCTCTACCTTAAGTCATAGCTGAATTTCGAATATTGTTTGATTTCCTCCGTTCTTGCGGTATGCTGTGGTATGCAATACATGTGATGCACATCACGACTATCAATAAATGACATCTTTCACAGAACTTGAACGTATAAGCTTTATTGTTAAAAAAATAACATAAAACACATGCCAGTGCGTTTCCATTAAAATACAGACCGGTAAACACATGAATGGAATTAATGATCGAAATGTGTGATTACAAATTTTAGTAGTGTAAGAAATGCAAACCAAACAAGGTGTTGGTGGCGCTGTCTTCTTAGCGAAGTTGCTCCACTGCCCGAATTGCAGAAGTCGCCCTTACAACACGTTGTGCAAAGCTGTTTATCTGAAAACGAGAAAAACTAGAGATTGAGACGTTTTCTTCGATGTTTTCCAATTTTTTTAACATAGTGAAGAAATATTTACGACTGGAAAAACTGTTAATCATTCGTCCTGTTACTATAGCAACCTCCCCAA